CGATTCAGCTTTGTAAAACCAAATTAGAAATATTATTCCCGAATATAATGTCAGAATATTCCAGGCGTCTGGTAAGAAGTGCACGTACGAGGGATTTCTTTCGAAACTTTGACACCAATTTGAGCGAGACGCAGCTTGTCTAGCTTTTCTTGAAAGTCGGTAACAAAGTTGTTGAACAGATCCAGTTGATACGGTTTTGAATCTGGATGATCGAGGAACTCGAAGATGGTGAGCGTCAATTGGTGCCATAGTCTATATAGAACATGTCAGTTATGGTATATCTCACAAGATTAGAGTGGTGCGCTATATATGAAACCTCTGGAGAGCGTTAGACCGAACTCACTTTCGGTCATAGTACGCCTGAAATTTGTCCACAATCGGGTGCAACGAGTTGGGAGTCGCGTGCAAGAGTTTTGCCAAATAATCTTCGACTTCTCGCGCAGGCATTTTCTCGTTAAATTATAGTGGGAGAGAGATGAAAGTGGATAGACGACGCGTGTCGCCCAAATAGCAGCAAATAAAAAGGCCACTTTATTCCAACCTTGTCAATGTCGATCCAGCGTTCAACTGTACACTAAAATCTGCAACAAGTTGCAGTATGTTTTCAGCCCCATATATCTCCGGGAATCTCCATGCTCTATACGGGATCTCGAACTCCGGAGACTCTTTGGTGGACCTCGGCCGGTCTCCTGAGTGACGTACGTCCCATTGAAGCATATTAATAGGTACCATCAGCTCAAAATCGGTCCAAAATCACTCGAATTTTCGAGAATTATGCTGGTTGCTTTCTTGCGGCCCATCGGTGCGAAATCTCCTATGGGTCGCCCAAGTTGGGCATAAAAAGTCCCTATGGTACGGTCAACGTCCTAGTCTAATCCGGCGACTCACAATAAGCTAGGCCTATTCTGTGGCACTGGTTCTGAGCGCTATCGGCTTTACCGGTTCGCGCCGGGGGAAGCAGGTAGCCTCTAACGTCTGTTTTCTCCCCCCAATCCTCCCCTTTGACGCACCCCCTGTTATATATCGCCAAGTACTCTCGTAAAATATTAGGACGCTCCATTCTTTCGTCGTAATCCATAATGCTAGTAGAACAGCAGCTCAACCTCCCCATCGAGATTGTCGAAATAATTATTGACAACGTCCCAGACGGCCAAACGTTCATTTCCTGCAGCCTAGTTTGCAAAAGCTGGCTTGCCCGATGTCGATTTTATCTTTTCTCGCGTATCAGTGTCGCGGCAGCAAATTGTGATAGGGTCGTGCCTTACCTTAATGGTCCCTCTCAGGCCGGACAGTTCGTCCAGAGCCTCGTCATCACCAAAAGCGCAAGCGATATTCTAGCACACGAATCCATCGAGCGCGCAGCCGACGCGCTCGTTCGCGCGTGTCCAAATATCCGAGAACTCCAAATGAGAGGAGTCACGGATTGGTCTATAGAGCGTTTCCTCGACCCGCTCATCGAGCAGCTCGAAGACTTGACACTCGCAGACGTCTCCGTAAACAACTGGTCCGTTATCAGCCAGCGCCTCTCAAAATGCACAAATCGGCTAAAATGCCTTCGCATATCTTCCGTCAAATTCACCAATCACAAATCAGTTGTACTATCAAAGCAATCTTGCACACAAAACCAAGGATCCTCGAGCCCTCTAGAGAATCTGGAGAGGCTGGCCATCGAAAGCCAATGCCACGGCTATTCCTTTGCTGGAATGCTTCTCGATCAGGTGATCCAATCGCAGGCGAGCAACTTGCGCGCCATCGAACTCCCCTTTCCAATGCCATCAAACGGGCAGCAATTTTTGTCGACACTTGGGCAAAATTTAACAAGTCTCGAGATTCACTGTGAATCCTTCCAGGCCTTTTCTGCTAATGATGGTACGAGCTCGCCCCTTATTTTCGTAAATTTAGCTCACAAAAAATTACAGTACAAAGCCTCAGTGAATTCTCATTAGATTTGAGCCAGTGCCGTCACCTGACCCACTTGCACTTCAAAAATATATATGCCCATCTCGATTACGCCGGTCCAGCCCTCGCTATCTTGCAGTGCCTTGTTCGGACGCTCTCCAAATTTCCATTCAGTTCTATTAAACATGTTCATTTATCGTACCGTGCCGGTCTTTACCGGAGTCCATACGTATCTGATGATTGGAAGGCGTTGGACGATACCCTATCTATGCCTCACATGGCAAGCTTACAGTCGCTACAACTTTCCGGCCTATTTTTCATAGCGGGCAGAGTCGGCAATCTGCTAAGTCAGACTCGTTCGCGTGGAATCTTACACTTTACTGTATAGAAATAAAAACAAAAAGTATACTAACAAACAATCTTGCTGTTGCCACTAATCTGCTCTAATGTATGGTAATAGTTTTTTGTCAAAATAGAAGGCTGCCTGTATAGTGGCCAATTTCTAACTTATATATTCCTGGTAACCATAAGTAATCCGTCGAAGCATACATGATAGGGTCCGAAACTGTTCGCGGGCGGTGGAATGAAGGAGGAGGGGTGGTTAGATTCATTCATATTGTACGGTTGATAATATACACAGAAAGGGGCACAAGTGACTATTCACTATCTATATATATATCCTAGATGTCTGTCCGGTTTCCACCCATGTGACCAATTCATTAGCTTACCTAAGCATTCCTTTGGAACTTTCATATAAACTTTAGAATATTCTAGAAAATATTAGTCAGCATTTAGAAAATATAAGAACTTTACAGAATATTCTAGAAAAACATTACTCAGCTTTTGTAATGCTGTTTTGCCACTGCTAATGACTCTGCCACATACCACCTGTACCCTCTATAGTGCCCCTTCCCTCAAATAAAATGACTTAGTAGCATAAAATATTGCTGAAATTTCTATTAGATTCAGTCTAATGATATGATGACCTGCTTCACACCTAAATAACTCACCTTGAGCTAATGCACATTGAACATGCCTCAAGCAGATTTGGAAATAAAGCGCACTTGGTGTGACTTGAATGGATTCCGAGCTGAAGTGTACTTGGTGTGACTCAAGGGGATTCCAAGCAGCAGAAGTGTGCTCAGCATGACTCAAGCAGATTCCAAGAGGAGGCATACTTAGTGGGTCTCAAGTAGATTCCAAGCAAAAGTGTGCTTAGCATGACTTGAATGGATTCCAAGAGGAAGCATACCTAGGGTGGCTCAAGTGAGTTTTAAGAGAAAGCACACTTAGCAGGATTTGGGTAGCTAAGCACACTTCTTCTTGGAATCCACTTGAGCCACACTAAGCACACTTCTGCTCGGAATCAGCTCGAGCCACACTAAGCACACTTCTGCTTGGAATCAGCTCGAGCCACGCTAAGCACACTTCTGCTTGGAATCGGCTCGAGCCACGCTAAGCACGCTTCTGATCGGAATCGGCTCGAGCCACGCTAAGCACGCTTCTGATCGGAATCGGCTCGAGCCACGCTAAGCACGCTTCTGATTGGAATCGGCTCGAGCCACGCTAAGCACGCTTCTGATTGGAATCGGCTCGAGCCACGCTAAGCACGCTTCTGATTGGA